CCCGTTGCACCGCGGATTCCGATTGGTCAACCGCCTATCTCCCCCAGCCAATAGGGGCAGTCTTCACCGGCCACCGCCTCTGTACGAGCAGTGGCCGTGGTCCCCCCACTTCGGCGACCATGGCGGCAATGGGGCTGCGTAGGGCAGCGGTGGCGGCCCTGGAAGGCGGCCTGCTGGGCCGGGTCCCTGCCCCCTCGGCAACCGCGGCACGGAGGCACGCGGCGCACTTCACCTTCCAGCCGGACCCAGCGCCCAGCGCCCACGGTGAGAGCGGCGGGTACAGTGACGTCAGCAGTTGCTATAGTGACGACGCGCCGACCCGGGTGCGGCCCCCTGCGGAAGGGGCCAAATCGTGGGGCCAGCCTGATCCCCCCGGCCCCAGCGGCGCGGACTACACTGCGCAGGCGCACGGCAGCACCTGGCGCTCCGCCCCCACGGCCAGCCCCCCCCAGTCATGGGGGTAGACTACCACCGCTTCCCCTCGGTCTTCGGAGCATGGTAGCAGGGGAGGGAGATGGGCGGGATTGTAATGGGCGCTGCTCCTTCCCTGCCGGGTGCAGCCCAGGGGCTGAGGGCGAGTGCCCTTTGGGGCTCCCTCTGGTCCTGCTTTTCCAGCATGGCTATGCTCTGTGGCCCAGCCTTGCAGGCACCATGGTTGGTGGGGGTCCCCTGCTGAGGGGCTGAGTCTAAAAAGAAAGAAAGAAAAAAAGGCAACACAACCTCATGCACATGTGTCCATGTGACTCCAGGATGCGGGCTGGGGTATGTTCCCCAGCTGGTGCTGGCAAGGGTCTGATCAGTAGAGACTGGTCCGGTTAATAAAAGGAAAAAAAGTTTGGAAGGAACCTTTGTGCAGCTCCTGTGCCTCCACCTGCCCCAGCGAGGTTGTTGTTGGGGCTTAAGTTTTCCGATGTCTTCCCATATAGGCAGTTTTCAGGCATCCTGGCAAATACCTTCCCCTTCTCTGAAGAGGGGTCATGGCTGCTTACCATGGGCGACTGGTGCCTCCCGAGTCTGGGGTGACACCAGATCGCTGACCGGGGGGTCCCCCAGCGGCCGATCGTCAAGTGCAGAAACGCCACCAATGAAACCAGGAGTGCACTTCCTCCGACGCTTCAGGTTTCGTGGCTGTCGTTTCCAGGGGGGTGCACGGTCAATCTCAGAGGGGGCACGGGCAGCCCCTCTGTGTTGCCAATGCTGCTTACTTTGCTGCTAGCCCTTGCCCCCCCACCTTCGAGGAAAGTTCCCAACTCCCAAGGACGTTGGTAAATGTGAGG